TCTTTCTTTCTTTCTTTCTTTCTTTCTTTCTTTCTTTCTTTCTTTCTCTTCAGGCCCCTATGGGGACCAGAGGTTGATGCCGCCATGTTGTTCTCCACCTTATTTGTCTGCACATATTCTTCACACAGGTTTCTCACTGAATTTGACACTTGATGTCTCATTTTAGACTGGTGGACCAGCTATCTCTGTCTCCCTCAGGGAGGGTCACAGACGCCTGCTCCCGCACCCACCTTTCTCGCATGTGAGTTGGGACTAGAATTCAGGCCGCCATGTTTGTGCATCAGGTACCTTACCCTCTGAGTCATCCCCCTGCTCTCCATTACTCACATTCATCCCAGAGTTTGGGTCGATGGAATGCCATTCTGAACAAGTCGACGATGATGATTGTAATGACCAGCTCTGAGATGGTACATACGATGGAGATCTGCAGAAGCATCATGCCAGCCATCTGGAGTAGAAAAGAGAAATCCCTCATGTGAGTAAATCCTCCAAGAACGGAGAGAAAAGCATTGATGGCTCAGAATATATCATTTGCCCTTTTAGCTCCAAACAGCTACAGCTATTTCAAGTTAGTTGCTTCGTTATCTATGCAGGATTCACTTGCTAAATGCTTCAATTCTGTTATCAGCTTCCCAACTTTTACTGCTGCTTTACACTTGATGAGTCTGGGAAGTAGAGGAAATAGAGCAGCATACAGCTTGCTAAGTAACTTCCTTTTTCTCAGTCCCTATTGGTGGGGCTGATCATAGGATCTGTGCTTTATGCTGTTCTATTTAATATATTCTGTTTTCTTTACTATGTTCTGTTCTAAGTAGTGTTGCTGCATGAATTTGATGAAGCTATTCTCTCTCAGCTCATGGGAAGAGTGAGAATTTACCTAGTGGAATGGACCATTCTGTTCGAAACAATCAGATTCTTTTGGGTTCCATCTTTTTTTCCCCCAGAATGAATTGTGTTTAGAACAGCTTATTCTTTTTTCAACAGCTGATTCTTTGTCTGGCTTCCAGTAGGGTAGCATTTGTTATATTGTATATTTTAAAAAGGCAGATGGGCTTAACCCATTAAAAGAGGTGTGCTGGCTAGTTTATGTCAGCTTGACACAAGCTAGAGTCATTGGAGGGAACCTCAATTGAGAAAATACTTCTGTAAGATTGGCTGTAAACAAGTCTGTATAATATTTTCTTAATTAATACTGATGTGGAAGGACCCAGATCACTGAGTGTGGGACTACTTGGGACAGGTGGTCATGGGTTCTATAAGAAAACAGACTGAATAAACCATGGGGAACAAGCCAGTAAGCAATATTCCACCATGGCCTCTGCATCAGCTCCTGCCTCCAGGTTCCTGGAGTCTTTGAGTTCCTGTCCTGACTTCCTTTGATGATAAACAGTGATGTAGAAATGTAAACCAAATAAACCCTTTCCTCTCCAAGCTGCTTCTGGTCATGGTGTTTCATCACACCCATAGCAACCGTGACTAAAACAGTCAGTGTTAGTAAATTCATTGACGAGAATTTCCAAGGCAATAATCAACCATGACTCTGACAGCTCTGTGTGAATTCTTGGGTCTTAGCTCAGTTGTTTGAACGGTGTGTCTTGTATTAGTTGGAATAAAACACTGGAGAAGTAGACAGCAATCTACTGGCCTCCTGTGCTAGTTCCCCAAATGTGTTGTAATAAAGAAGCACCATAACATGAATGTCTTCTACAATAGAAATTAATTGTCTCCTAGTTCTAGAGGCTAAAAAATCCAATGTATTGGTGTGACCATGCTCCTTCTAGACACTCTGAAGGAGTGTACTTCACTCTTCAGATTCTGGAAGTCCCCTGAATTACAGCAGCACCATTCCCATGAGTCTTTATATTCATGTGGCCATCTTCCTCATGCACCAACTTTCCTTTTTAGAAGAACACTAGTGATATGGTCTGCCCTTCTCCAATATGACTTCAGTTAACTTAATAAATCATTACTATAATGGTTCCATTCACTGAACTTCACAATTGCACGTACATAAAAATACAATTCAACTTATAATTATTTGCCTCCAGCCCCTTCAAGCTCATGTTCTTTCCATGTGTAAAATATGTTCGTCTCATCTCAACATCTCTCCAAATGGTAACAGCATAAATTCTGAGTCCAAAATCTCCCAAATATTATCAAGCCAAGAAGCCGAAATCCTCCTTGAAATCAGTTGTAGGAGAAACGCATACTGCAGCTTAGTAGTGGGTAAAATTTCTCTGCAGCTGTGGACTCATGGAGTCAGAAAACATGTCATCTAATGCCAAGACAGACCCAGAGTGGAGCGGACAGAGGACACACTCCCAAAGTGGAAAACTAAAAGGGGGAAAAGCTCACAGGGTCTATATAAGCTCCACAACCTAGTGGAGCTACATTTTGGTAGGTTTAAAAGGCCTGACAATAATTCTCAGTAGCCTTGTCCTCTGGTCTTTTGGGGACTGTCTTTGCCCACTGAGCCAGTGACCCTACTCTCCTAGCCCCTGGGCAGTGACTTCATTTATTTAGCTGCTGTTATCTTAGCCTATCTTAGACCAAAAATGAAAACATTTTGTTAAGTTTCCTCCTCTCGTTTCCTAGTTTTCTTTCTTGTTCATGTAGTTATGGTGATTTTTATCATTTTTATGCTTATGCATTTATTTCTGATTTACTTTCCCACACAACGAGACTATGTGGCTATTTAAATTTTCTCTGAGATAGATATCTCATTGATTTGGTACTATTTAAGTTTCATTTCCCAATGATGATAGATATGACTTCATCCCATAAATAAATGTGTTATAGGAGTCAAAAGGCCAGAACTTTGCTGTGAGATGGTATCTTCTGGACATGACAGGGAGGGAAGCTGTACCCACGAAATCTCAACAATATGGTTACCCGAAAAGACCTGCAAAATGACAATACTGGCTGATATGCCAGGGAAGATGGAGGAAATTTCCCAAGCCCAACTCCTGACAGGCAGCCAATAGGTGCTGAGGGAGGGAAAATCAGTTTTCTCCAGGGATGTACCCTTGATAGGTTATCCAATGGCAAATGGTCAGCCCTAAGTATATGTGCACATGAGTAACACTAAATAGACTCAATAGTTTATAAATAATAATGACTGTGGGAAAAGAGGTCATGAAGCCAAGAGAAAGAAGAGAAGAAAGGAACTGGAATAAGAGGTGGGGGTAGCAATGATGTAAATACAGTGTGCTCATGTATGAAACCCTCAAAGATGAATTGTTTCTCGAGATAGGGATCTTGATGTGTCACTCAGGTTGCCTTCAGTCTCAGCTCTTTCTGCTATTATTTGGTGAGTCTGTCTTTGTGTGACGATAACAGCTTTACTAATGACTTCAGAAATTCTCTGCTCTTTTCTAGCCATTATGTGGTCTCTAGATTTTCTTAGCAATTTCAAAACTGTTGTTTTTTTAATCCATACATATCTAGAGCAATCTCATTGTATCTCATAATAAGTTTTTATTTATAGCTAACACTTTTACTGAGTTATCATTAAAATTAGTACTTACATTTGACCAAATGTAATGCTTTCCCAGTGCTTCAAAAGCTGGAAACTCAACGGCAAATATAATTATTCCAATAATAGCCACGAAGATACTTATGGTGTTCATTACAATTCCTAACACAAGCTGCAATACGTAAAAAGAAAACGAAAAGGTCATGGATAAAAGAAAGAGAATTAAAACACTATTGTGTGTGTGTGTGTGTGTGTGTGTGTGTGTACACATGGGTATTCTCTGTCTTCCATATCACCCTAGACATAGTGGGGTTACAGGTGAGGTACTGTGTCTAGCTTACATTGGTTCCGGGAATTTGAGCTCAGGTCTCTATGTTTGTGCAAGGAACATTGTACCCACACAACCATCTCCCTACCTCTTATGTACTAAAGACAACTTGTAAAAGCCTATTTTTGGCAAGCTTATTAAGAGTAGTAGCTATCAAGACGCGACCCCAATCTTGTCTAGAAGTTAGTTACATAAAAGGGTTTTATTTCACAAGAGGCATGTGTGTGCTCATCAGGGTATCACTACGCAATACCTGCAGTGTGCTAAGCATCAGAAGCTTACAATAGGAACTGGACAGGTTTCTCGGCATTTAAGAGCATTGGCTGTTCTCAGAGGACCCAGGTTTAATTCCCAGCACCTACAGTGCAGCTCATAACTATCTGTAACTCCAATGTTGTGCCAGGGGATCTGATGCACTCTGAGGGCACTGTGCACACATGGTGCACAGACATGCATGCAGACAAAACACCCATCTACATAAAAAGTAAAATGGAAAAAAGAGCGGCTTAGAATAATGATCGCGGGGAGAAAATTATATTCTGGTTGTAATGTAACGAAATTTAATAAGTACCATGATATTGACACATTTCAGTCTCAGAACTCGCCAGGCTTATTCCTGCCACTTCACTACTTAAGCCCTTTTAGTGGTTCCAAACTTCTGTTGAAACAACCACCAAACTCTTTTCAGAGGCACTGCGGACACTGCATGAGCTATGAAGGAAGGGTGTCTCTTTGAGAAGGAGCTGAAGGAGTTGTATGTGTTTTGTATACATGTGTGAGAGACTGCTGCATGTTAGAAAGACGTGCTTGTGGTAATGGGAAGAGGGAATGACTTACGACCGCCAACAAAGGACTTTCGGGACACAGGAATGCCAGGTTGTTTAGCAGGGCGTCCTCTTCATATTTTAGGGACTTTCTTCTTTAGCTATTCTACCAATTTTGTACTAGGATACACAAACGTGTGTGTGTGTGTGTGTGTGTGTGTGTGTGTGTGTGTGTGTGTGTACATGTGCCTGAACGTGCGGGTGGTGTGCATGTGGAAGCCTGAGGCCGAGGCTGGGTATCATCCACCCTTGATCACTCTTCCATCTTATTCCCTGAGGCATGATCTCCCAGTCAAACCCAGAGCTCACTGATCTGGTTGCTTTGGGGATTCTCTGTCTTCTGGGGCTGCAATGGCAGGTGAGGCACCATGCCCACATGGCATTTATATAGATAGGTTCTGGGTATCTGAACTCTGCTCCCACATTAGTTAAGCAAAGGGCTTTAATTAACCAGCATGTCATCTCCTTAGTGCTCCTCACATTAGCTTAAGTTGTTGTGAAGGAAACTTTGCAGTCTTCTGCCGTGGAAACCAGGAGACCCCACTTGATTCAGTTTCTAGCCATGGCTTGCACAGTGAAATACTTCGTCTACGGATTAAGAATCTACATCCTATCCGACACCGTGGCACATGTCTTTAATCCCAGCACTCAGGAGGCAGAGGCAGACAGATCTCTTGATTCAAGGTCAGGCTGATCTACAAAGAGTTTCAGGATAGCCAGGCTATACGGGGAAACTTTGTCTTGATGGAAACCTCCTTCCCTCCAAGAAGAAGATCGTTTAGGAAAGGTACTAAGCTTGTCTGATTATAAATACGCAGTGCTGAGGTGTAACATGAGGGGCTGTCTGTTGGGGGTTTTCTGTCCTGTCTGGCCCCCCAGCTGTTTAGTCTATAAGTTATAAAGCTGATTGGCCCATTAGGTTAGGCTTTTTATTAGCTAACTCTTACATCTTGATTAACCCATTTTTCTGGTCTATGTTAGCCATGTGGCTCAGTACCTTTTTCAGTGGGGCAGCTCACATCCTGCTGCTTCGGAGATCTGGGCAGGAGAGGGAGGAATCAGCTTCCTTCTGCCCAGAATACTCCTGTTCTCCTTACATCATTTCCACTTTCTGTCTGGTTTTCCTGCCTACACCTCCTGCCTGGCCAATCAGCGTTTTATTTAAAATATGATTGACATATATCTAAAATATGATTGAGAATACAGACAATTCTTCTGCATCACTGAGGTGTGATATCAATTGCTTCTAGAGAAGGAACCAGGCTGGTTCTGCATAGGAAAGAGACTTGGGCCTTTCTCCTTGAGGCAGTATGGAGGGGAAAGAGGCATCCAGAGATGTTTGGGTTTCCAAAAAGCTGCAGGTAGATTGTGGCTTAGAAATTGCAGTCAGGCTTTCCACTCTCCATGTTTCCAGAGAAAAATCCAATGTGCCTGGTGAGTTTTCTGAAAATCAGTCAATGGGCTGCATTTGCTTCTGCTTGTTACCACGATTGCTGCACAGAAAATTAAGACTTCATATAAAGGCAGAAACTGAGTATGAGCTGGCACTGGGTCAGGAACTTGCAAAACCTTAAGAGGGCTGCCAGGGTTTTGTGGTCAGCTGCGCCATTGCTCTGGAAGAGTAGCAGCAGATATTTAGCCCTGTGCACACTTGCTTGCAGACACTTTGGGGTCATCAGGAAGGAAGGAAGATGATATTAACAGTGACTGTCTAGGTTATGGTAAAAGTTAAAAAGGTAAGAAGCCCAAACCCTGGTTCACCACAATCATAGTTGCCGAGTTCCTTCTCAGCAAAGTGGCCTCTCATGCCACAGTTCTCTTGGGGGAAAAAGAGGAAGATAGGTTGTTTAGCTGAAATAGCAAACAATGTTTTTTTTTGTGGTATTTCTTAATTATACATTATATATATTTTCTTTTTTTCTTTCTTTCTTTATTAAAAATTTTCACCTACTCCCCTTCTCCCAATACCCTCCCACTCTCTCTCCCTCTCCCCTCCCTCTCCTGTCCTAAGAACAGTCAGGATTTCCTGCCCTGTGGGAAGTCCAAGGTCCTCCCCCCTCCCTCCAGGTCTAGGAAGGTGAGCATCCAAAGAGACTAGGCTCCCACAAGGTCAGTCCATGTCGTAAAATCAAAACTCAGTGCCATTGTCCTTGGCTTCAGCCCTCATTGTCAGCCACATTCAGAGAGTCCAGTTTGATCAAATGCTCCACCAGTCCCAGTCCAGCTGGCCTTGATGAGCTCTCATTAGATCAGTCCCATTGTCTCAGTGGGTGGACACACCCCTTGCCTTCCTGACTTCCTTGCTCATGTTCTCCCTCCTTCTGCTCCTCATTTGGACCTTGGGAGCTCAGTCCAGTGGTCCAGTGTGGGTCTCTGTCTCTATCTCCATCCATCGCCAGATGAAGGTTCTATGATGATATGCAAGATATTCATCAGTGTGGCTATAGAATAGGGCCAGTTCAGGCACCCTCTCCTCTGCTGCCCACGGAACTAGTCGGGAAAAATCCCTTATCCTCTGGGATATTGAAAGTTGACAAGATCGTCAGGCAAAAGTTGGGATCGGGGGGTGGGGGTGGATTGGGGGAAGGGGAGATGGGGAGAGAGAAGGGAGGAGGGGAGGATTGGGGAGAGCTTGGGGGAATGGGATAATTGAGATGGAGGAAGGGTGGATATGGGAGCAGGGAAGAAGTTATCCTAACCAAGGGAGCCATTTTAGGGTTGGCTAGAGTCTTGGCTCTAGAGGGGTTCCCAGGTGTCCAAGGGGATTTCCCCAACAAAGTTTTTAGCTTGCTAGTGTTATCCATGTTTGCTCAGATCAGTAGGATGCACAGTGAAGCATTTGCTCAGGGTCACACAGCTAACACGGTGTCTTCAGAACCTGAATCCATGTATGTGAGCTTCCAGAGCTGTAACTAATCACCAACCACCGGGGGCTGGCGGAGGCGGGGAGGGAAGTTCAAAATGAGCAGGGGACTGTTCCTCGTTGGAGGTGTCCTGGCAGTAGTCCACGGACCTGGTTTCCAGAAGAAAACACTCTTTCCAGGGGTTGTTCTTTTCTCACCCTCTTCTTAGCAGCCCCAACCTTTTCTCAACTTGACATAAACTGGAGCCATCTGACGAAAGAACCTCACGTGAAAGAGTGCCGCCATCAGATTTTCCTCTAGGCAAGTCTGTAGGACAGTCTCTTGATTAATGATTGATGTGGGAGGGACAGGCACGTGACAGGATGGCCGGTGCCACCCCAGGGCAGCTGGTCCTGGGTTGTAGAAGGAAGTGGGGTGAGAAAACCACAAGAAACGAGCCAGTGAGTGGCATTCCACTCTGGTCTCTGCTTCAATTCCCACCTCTAGGTTCCTGCCAGGAGTTCTCTCAGTGATGGAGTGTGACCTAAGAGTTATAAGATGAAATAGACCCTTTCCTTCCCACGTAGCTTTTGGTCATGGTGTTTTATCACAGCTGTAGAAACCTAATTAAGGCACCGACTAAATTACCTGCAAACTTCCCCTAACTTCCCTTTCTCTCCTTTGAGAGTTTTGCTTTATGATTGATACTCCCTTTAGATGCCAAATATGGGTTCGTTCCACGAGGACTCTCTCACCTCTCTCCTTATTTGCTCATTAGGCACCCCTTTCCCATACTCCCACATAAGACACATTAAGGTAGCTGGGTGGTGGTGGCGCACGCCTTTACTCTCAGCACTTGGAAGGTAGAGGCAGGCAGATCTCTGTGAGTTTGAGGCCAACCTGTTCTACAAGACCTAGTTCCAGGACAGGCTCCAAAGCTACAGAGAAATCTTGTCTCGAAATCCGCCCCCCCACCCCAATAAAGATCACTTATCAAAAAAGTTGATTTATTAAAAAAAAGACACATTGAGGTGCATTTTTAAAAGTTAAGTGATATTTTTCATCTGAGCATTTGGAAGAGGTCCCCCACCCCGCCACAATGTCTCAGAATCATCAATATCTCTTTCTATTTACGCTATGTAACACTTAGACTTTGGGGTATGTACTGCTTTCCCACATACCTGACCTGCTGAAACATCACCCTGGATTACACTGCTGGATCCTGAGTTGATGAACTGCGGGTAGAAATAAGTATTGAAACACCCATGCTCAGGATGCTCCGTCCCCCCAACAGATTCTCTCCCTAATACCAGTGTTGTTCTGATGTTTAAAGTATCCCTGGATTTTAAGAAAGTGGCATTGAAATGAAAAAAAACTCTATTTTGTTCTAAGGATTCCCTAACAAAAAAAAAATTCTACCTTTTCTCTGTTAGAGAGATGAAAAGACATTTAAAAGATGCTTATCATTCATGAGATCAGCATGTAGGTGATGGCACTCAGGAATTTCTCGGTAGTTTTACGAGGGGCAAATAGTGGATCCTTGGCTTGCTTCGACGGTCAGTTAGCAAGTCAATGGCCTGAAGTATTATAAACTAAGACGGCTAGCCCAGCAGGTCTCATTCACAGGAGCCCTCCTTCTCATGGTATTCTAGGGGAAAGCCCCATCACTGCAAAATGGTTTCAGAAAACAATTCATCAAATGAATTTATTTTGCTTTATTTATTTATAGCTGGTTTTCTCAAGCACTGTGCTGTCTGTGACCTACTGAAACTAGTTGAAAGTGTGGCTATTTGTGGATTATTCGGAATTAACTCTTTTTCCTGTGGTATGTCTTCCATTTGTCTGCAGTGCTTACAAAAATGACAAATATTCTAAGAAGGATATCAAGACTCTCCCAACCCAGGAGGATGCAATCTGTTATGAAAGCAGAGGCACCGTTGCTGTGGGATAATGCTCTTGCACACTGTAAAGATTTGTCAGTTGTTCTGGCTTAATAAATGCTAGGCAGGAAGTATAGGTGGGGCAACCAGACTAGGAGAATTCTGGGTAGAGGAAAGGAAGAGGTGCAGTTGTCAGTCAAATGCAGAGGAAGCAAGATGAGAATGCTGTACTGAGAAAAAGTACCAAGCCATGTGGCTAAACATAGACAAGAATTATATGTTAATTTAAGTTGTAAAAGCTAGTTAGTAATAAGCCTGAGTATTAGGCCAAACAGTTTATAATTAATATAAGCCTCTGTGTGTTCATTTGGAACTGAATGACTGCAGGACTGGGTGGGAAAGAAACTTCCGTCTACAGACCTTAACTTGGTCTAAAGAAAACCCTGACATTTTATTGTGATGCACTCTGTCAGAGTTACTTAAACTTTGCAGAACTTGTCTTCCTCATTTGTAAAGTGGAATATGAAGAGCTACTTCACTTGATCCTTGTGAAAATTGGTAAAATGAGCTTGAAGTGCCATTGGGAAATGCATAATGCAGTGATAGACACATATTGAATATTATTTGCGGTTAATTTCTTCTATAGACTTCCTGTTTATGTCTTGGGTTTAGGATTTTTTTTTCTAGACACTTTGCAATTGGAGACTCCTTGTACCATTCCAGTTTAAGTTGTTGTTCCTTACTATATACACCTCTTTCCAGAATGTTGTCAGTTTTGTAATGCCTTCAGAGCTGAACCCTCTGAGGAAGTGTCTACCAATCAGGGAAGTGAATGTCAGACCCCTGCTGAGTGAAATGACTACTTGTTTGCCTCAGAACTTTCCACGAAGCTCAGAGACTGGGCTCTACTCAGACCTCTGCTCCTTTATAGCTCCTTCTTGGTAGAGGAAAATAAGAAGGCAGGGAAGGATTTCCTGAAATCTGTGCTCTGTAAAGAAACTCACCCTTAGATTAAGATTGCTGCTTCTGGAGGCTTGCTATCATGGGGAAGTCAGTTGTGACACTAGGCCACACGACTTTTACATACATGACCCCCCATCAACAAATTTCTTCTGGATTGACTGCGTCTGTGAACTAAGATAGTTAAGGGAAAATCTAGCTTTGGGCTTCCCTCAGTTTAATTACTTTAAATTGGGGATGCTCCTAGTGGGCAATTTGATAAACACACCAAAGAAATTATTAGAATATCCACTTTAGGAATCTTTATTTAATTTCCCTCCATTCCTCTTGGGTCCCCAGGGCTCATCTTTTTTTTTCTCTTATGTAATTTTTCCAAAAATCACCCCTAATTCTGTAGGCATTAAACTCTTGCTTTTGGGTTTTCAACCTGAGGAAAAAAAAAGGCCTTCTAGTCGTTATATAATCAGCCATGTCCTTTGCGAGTCTTCTGAATAATAATCCTTTGATAGCTTTTCTACTTGTACATCCCGACCTCTTGAGACACTTAGCAGAACATGAGATAAATGCAAAAACCAACTTCTCCAGGCTCAAATGAGCACTGAAAATCAGTGACTGAGTCTAGTATACCAGTGACCACCACATACTTTAACTGATCAACTAAAACCAAATAAAGAGAAATCGGTAATGCCATAGTTTACTCACAAATGATCCAGACACAAACAGGTAAACGATGGCAATTGTCATAAGGACAGGACCGACACTGTGTTTCGCATCTTCTAGGTGGTACAAAAAGAGCCAGAGAGACCCCAGTGCAGTGTGAATTAGGCCAAACATTATTTGTGCAGCCTGTGGGAAAAGAAAGCCAGTGTTACTCTTCAAGGTGAATCTACTCAGGGTGGTTTCAGCGTGTGGCTGAGAAGCCTTTAATATGTTTAGTTGGCTAAGCATATTATTATATTAGTATAATTAGTATTAGTATATTAGTCAAGAGTCTCCAGAGAAGAACATTCAGTAAGATGCTGATTCTGGTCTCTGCAGGATATTGATGTAGTCATGGAGACCCCAGACACCATTCCACTGTGCTGTCAAGCCCTTTGCTTCAGGATGGTGAGTGTTCACGATCTCTGAGTGCTGAAGGAATTATACGTCAGCCAGGAGCCCGGGTAGAGACTGTTGTGGCAGTCACTGTTGAGTGCTTTGGATCTTCTTTGCTCGAACCAGAAGGATTTTATTTAATAGCAGCCTCCAAGTATAATTATTTTGATTGTGTAGGTGACTCCAGTTAAGTGAAAAGCAGAAGCCTATTGATCTGTCTTTCACAGAAGGATGTTAATGGCTAAAGGGAGGACTACTGATCGTGGCATCTGAAAGTCTTTTCTGAGTACTGATCTCCTTCCTAGGCACGGTCTTTAGGCAGACTCTAGCCTGAAGATCTATCTATCTCATGCTCTTATCCCACAAAACCAGCTAGGGATTTTTGGCTTCTCCTTTTTCTCTTCTCTTCTTGACTGGACTTGAACTTTGGCTTCCCTTGTCCTACCCCTTCCCACATCCAGTGTTGACCTTTGCCACTGGAGAATAAATTAGTCTAGGCCTTGTTTTAAAAATTGTATTCACATAGTCCGAAAGCTAAGGATCTATGGAACAGTGATGAAGATGGAGAAGGGGTGGGTTTATACTGTGATAGTTCATTTTTAGTCTACTTGAAACTGGAGTCATTGGAGAAGAGGTAACCTCAGCTGAGAAAGTTCCCCGGCACACCAGCCTGTAGGGCAGCACATGGGGCATTTTCTTGACTTATGATTGATGTAGAGAGACCACTTCTGATCAGGTAGTCCTCGGGTATATAAGAAAGTGGATTGATTGGTAGCGGCACACACTTTTAATTCGAGCACTCGGGAGGCAGATGCAGATGGATCTCTGTGAGTTCAAGGCCAACCTGCTCTACAAAGCAAATTCCAGGATGGCCAGAGCTGTTCCACAGAGAAACCCTGTCTCAAAAAAACAAAACAAAATAAAACAAGAAAGAAAGCAGGTGGATAAAAATGTGAAGAACAATCCAGTAAGCAGCATTCCTCCATGACCTCTGCTTCAGCTCTTGCCTCTAAATTCCCTACCTTGGCTTCTTCTGCTAATGGACTGTAACCTACAAGCCAAACAAACCCTTTCCTCCCCAAGTTGCTTTTTGTCTTGTTGTTATTCTTTTCCCCTGAAGCAACAGAAAGCAAGCAAGCTAAGGCATGTAACCACCGCACAAGCCATCCTCTCTACTTGATTGCTCAAAGCCTTCTCTACTGAGAGTGCCCTTTGCTGAGGGCTGGCTTGATATGCAAATATGTTTAATTTTCTTTTGCTTATCTGGAGATTTATTTCAAACAGTGCTTTCCTAGTGTCTTTCCTAGTTCCTGTGGAAAAAAAATCTGACAGAAGCACCTTTGCAGAGAAGAGGTTTTTTTTTGTACAACAGTTCAAAGGTACAGTCCATCATGGTGGGAAAGTCGAGCAAACAGGAATATGAAGCAGCTGGCCACATTTTAACCATGGTCAAGAAGCAGAGAGATAAATGCTTGCTTTGCTCAGTCCTCTTTCTCCGTTTATACAGTACAAAATTCACAGTGGCCACGTCTTCCTTTACAATTGTTATAATCAAGATAATCTCCTGCAGACACACTCAAACGTCCCCCTCCCTGAGGATCCCTTAGTCTGTCAAGCTGACAATTAAGACTGTCGCATCTTGAGTTTATCAGTCTCGTTTCCTCCAAGCCCCTGATCAGCTAACCAAACCATAGAACTTGTAGCAGTGGGCTAGCATTTGATCACACATCTTGCCATTTCTCCTATACAAAAAAGCAAGCAAGTATAGCATTTGAAATTATGCATCTTGGCAAGGTTTTCTGTCACATTTCTCCTTCGGGGGTACCCCAGTCAGGGGCTGTAGTACTGCAGCTATCTACTTTTGGGAGGTTCTTGGATATCAGGCATAACCATTTGTAAACCAAGGTTTAATTACATTTTCCTAGTTTAACTGATAATAGGGCCTCCAGGCCTTAGATAGAGGCTGGATAAGAGGAGGCAGTAAGAGCGCTGGGTGTTTGGGCTGTTTCTTCACTTCCTGCTTGCTTGGATTTGCCCACAAATATATGTCCATTTGGTGATGGAGTTTTAACTAGTGACTTCTGCTTTGATATAATGTATAGAAATAGAGATGTAGGATGGGTTTCCATGGCTTGCCCATTCTCATGGTTTTCAGTGTTAGTTCCTTTATGGGGCATAAGCCACAGACTTGCTCTAAGTTCAGTGAAGGAGCCACAAGGATTTTGTAGGAAGAACTAATTCAGGATTCTGATCCCTTGTTTGTCTCTGAGGTTGTAGATTTCATTAATAAGTCAATCTATGTCTTCCCAGAGACATGGTAGTAGTATTCATTCTCAAGGTAGGGTAAAAAGGAAAGGAACAAGCTGCTTTGACCTATATCACAGAATTAGGGTAAGGTAGGGAACCACCAGTTCCCTGGCCTTACTATATATGTGCCTTGGATTTTTGTAATAGACCATCCAATTCCAAAACAGCTGAAAATGGTCATATATTTGATATGTTTGGATTTTCTAGGTGCAGGTTTTTATTTTGTTTTTGAGATTACAATACAGTTACATCTTTTCCCCCTTCCCTTTATTCCCTCCAAGCTCTCCCATATAACCCTCTTTGCTCTCTTTCAAATTCATGGCCTCTCTTTTCATTTATTGTTGCTGCACACACATATTGTACATGTATAATGTATACATTCCTAAATATAACCTGCAGTATGTATAGTATTACTCGTATTATGTTTTCAAGGTTGGCCATTTGGTATTGAATAGTCACGAATTGGTGTGCTCCTCTCTGGAGAAGATACTCTCTCCCATTTTCAGCATTCTTTTGTTGCCTCTAGTTCTTCGTCTCGGGTTGAGACTTTGTGGGCTTCCCCCATCCGCTTTGACATGACTGTTGGTGTCCTGTTCTGCTCCTGCAAACAGGAGTTGTTTAACAGTCATGTTGGTGAGCCTTTAGGAGCCTATCTGCTGACATTAATAGGAGAGCCAGTCTTACAGCAAACTCTGGATCCTCTGGCTCTTACATCTTCCACTCCCTCTTCCACACTATTCCCTGAGCCTTAGGCGTGGGAGTTGTGTAAGATGTAGCTATTGGGACTGAGCTCAACAACTCAGCTTTGCATTTGATTGCTTAAGGTTTTCTGTAATGGTTTCCATCTGTTACGAAGAAAAGCTTCCTTGATGAGGTCTGAAAACTGAACTTACCTGTGGACATAAGGGCAAATATTTAGAATGCAGTTAGGGATTAGGCTAGTTTAATAAAGTTGCAATGGAGAAGCTCCCCCCTCTAAGATCTACAAATTTACTAGCCTTGTGGCTAGGTTTCCAGTACCAGGCATAATTTCCCACTTGTTTCGTTGGTTTTAAGTCCAATTAGAGAGCTGTTTGCTACCACCAAGGTATTCATGCCACCACTGCAGGCACCCTTAGGGGTATTTACTATGTGGGCCATTCTTGTGACTCACAGGTGTCATAGCGAGGTAGGACTGTTGGTTGCTCCCCTCCTTTGGAAACTTGCATCGCACCTTCTGGTATTATGAAAGTAGTCCTCAGGGAGGAGACATTTGGGTGGGTTCCAGCTCTGGGGCCTCTGGCCCTGTGTCTGAAGTGCATGGTGTCTTCAGCAATAGGGACTTACCTTACACCTCTGGGGGGTAGCTAGGGGCAATACAATAATAGCCTATGACGCCTGGTGTTGGGATTTTTGTTAGGCAGTCTTTGGCTCATGGAGGAAGAATTGCCAGTCCAGATGAAAAATTTCTTTTAAAACACATTATGTTTATCTACACACAGACTTATGAGTGTTATAGCTTTTGGTTTTGAGTAGATAATTATAAGTATGGTTCATTGCGACAGTTTCAGACATTCTTACTGTTATTTTTCCTCCATCTCACCTTCTTTTGTATTTCTCTCGCTTTCCTTCCCTAACTACTGTCCCCGAGCTTGCCCCATTTCTCCATTTAGACCACTGTACCCTGCAGTTCCTCTCTCAATTGCTCCTCCCCCTGCTTACCCTTGTCCCTCTCTTGGTTTCTGCATTTACTCCAGGAGATGAGCCCCACATCTGAAGATTTGGAGATAGGAGCTTCCAATGAACATGTAACGTTTGTCTTTCTAGGTCTGCATCACTTCACTTGCTATGATCTTTACTACTTCTATCCATTTAGTGAAAAGTTCACAAATTTCTTTTTTCTTTACAGATGAGCAGGATTTTGTGGTGTATATGTGTCACGTTTTCACTGTTGGTCAGTTAGTTAGCTGGCTGAGCAAGAATCCATGGAGAAGAATGTCCAGTCGTTCGAGCATATGCCAAAGAATGGTACAGCTGTATCACATGGTAGATTTTTTTTTTTAGTTTTTGAGAATTTTCCGGACTGATTTCCATAGTGACTGCACTGGTTTGCAACCCACCAACAGTGAATGAGGGTATGAGGGTCCCCTCCAAACCCCACCCCTGCCTCCAGCAATTTTTGTTGGTTGTTTTATTCTTCTTTGCCATCTGACTTGGATAAGATGAAATCTCAAAGTTGTTTTGATTTGCATTTTCCTAACTGCTATGGACAATGAACTTTTTTTTAATTAAAAAAAACCCTTCTTTTTATTTTTTCTTTTGAGAAATCTTTGTTCAGGTCCCAGCCTTAGTTTTTGAATGGGTCATTTGATTTTATGAATCTTTGTTACTGAGTTCTTTAATATTGTGGATATCAATCCTTTGTCAGATGTGCAGCTGGAAAAGATTCTCTCCCATTCAGTGGGCTTCCTGTTCACCTGCTTGACTCTACACAGAAAATTTTTAGTTTTATCAAAGCCCACTTGGTCAGTTGTTGGCCTTACATTTTGGGAAAATGGGAAGGGAGTCCTTTGCCATACCTGTATCATGTAGAATACTTCCTATATTTTCTTCTGGAAGTTTCAGTATTTCAGGCTTCATGTTTAGGTCTTTGACATGTTTGTAGTTAATTTTTGTGCAACATGATAGATATGTATCTACTTTTATTTTTCTACATATGGACATTGAGCTTTCCCAGCACCATTTTCTGAAGATGCTCTCTTTTCCAGCATATTTGGTATCATTATCAAATAATAAGTGCCTGAAGTTATGTGTACTCATATGTGGGTCTTCAGTTTTGTTTCATTCGTCTACAGGGTTGTGTTTGTGTGAGCACCGTGCTGTTATCTTTTTTTTAATTTTTTTTTTTAACAATGACACTGTCGCATGTCTTCAGATCTGGACTGGCGCTCCTTTCACCTCCATCACAGGTCCTTTTGCTCATGATTGTTTTGGCTATCCTGCTTCTTTTGTGGTTACATACGCATTTTAGGATAGTGTTGCCTATTTCTGTGAAGAATGAGTTGGAGATTTTGATTGGGATTGCACTGAATCTGTACATAACTTTTGGTAAAATGGTCCTTTTCACAATGTTAACTGCCGATCTGTGAGCATAGAATGACTTTCCATTTTCTAGTGTCTTTCTCTATCTCCTTCTTCAAAGGTTTAATGTTTTCATTGTAGAGGTCCTCCACTTTCTTGGTTAGGTTTTTCCTTAGCTATTTGATTTCCTTTGAGGCTGTTGTAATGGGAGTGTGTCCATACTATCTTCCTCTGTGTGTTTGTTGGTGGTACATAGAAAAGCTATTGATTTGTGCAAGTTGATTCTGTATCCTACTAAATTTATCATTTCTAGATTTTTTTGGTCAAAATTTTGGGATCTCTAATGTATAATATCATGTTGTCTGCAAATAGAGATAGCTTTACTTATTTCCCTATTGGTATCCCTTTAATATTCTTCTCTTGCTTTATTGCTTCAGCTAGTACTTCAGGTACAACATTGAAAATGAGTAGGGATAGTGGACACACATGTCTTATTCTTGACCTCACTGGAGTTGCTTCCAGGTTTTCTCCAATTAGGATGTGTTGACCGGGGGTTTCTCAATTTTTTATTATGTTTAGTGTGTTATCTCTAGGTCTACATTCTCTAAGAATAAAGGCATGTTAGATTTTTGTCAAAGGCTTTTTCTATGTCTATTGAAATGATTGTGTGATTTTGTCTTTAATGTCACTTATGTGGATGCTTTATTGACTTGCATATGTTGAAACATCCCTGCATTTTAGGGAAAGTGCCAACTTGGTCGTGGTGGCTGATCTTTTTGATACATGTATCTGTATTTTGTTTTAAAATATTTTAGTGAGCATTTTTATTGGGGATTTTGGCATGTAGTTTTCTTCTTTTTTCCTTGTGTCTACCTGGTTTGTATATTAAAGTGATATTGACTTAGTAGAAGGCATTTTGGAGTACTCCTTCTGTTTTTTCTTTTTTTTTTAATAGTTTAAGAAGAACTGGTTGTATATCTTTTTTGAATGTCTGGTAGAATTCTGCTATAAATCCATCTGGGCCTGGACTTTTTTCTTTTTAAGACTTTAATACTTTTTTACTTCTATTCCAGTCTTCTTTCTTCTTACGGGTCTCTTTAATTTCTTTACTTCTTGGTTTAATTTGGTGGTTTGGCTGAGTCTGGAAATTCTTCCATTTCTTGTAGGTTTTCCAGCTAGGATGACAGATGTTAAAGCATCCCTTTATACTGCTCCCAATTTCTTCCATGTCTGTTGTAATGTCTCTGTTTATTCTGATTCTGTTAATTTGGGCCATTTCTTTCTTTTGTTTAGTTGGGCTAAGGGTCTGTCAGTCTTATTTATCTTTTCAAGGAAGTAGGTCTTAGATTAATTGATTATGTGTATTGTTTTTTTAAAATTTCTATTTCATTGATTTATTCCCTAATTTTTTTTTTTATCATTTCTTGCCATCAACTGGGTTTGGATTTGGTTTGTTCTTGTTTTTCCAAATTCGGAGGATCATCATCAAGTCATTTATTTGTGCTTTTTCTTTTTTTTTAAGGTAGGCACTTAAGAGGTATAACTTTTCCTGGTAGGACTGCTTTCAGTGTATTCCAGAGGTTTTGCTGTGTTTTTACTTTTATTCAGTTCCAGGAAAATTTTTATTTCTTTCTTGATTTCTTATTTGACCCATTATTCATTCAGTAATGAGTTGTTTAGTCTCCATGAATTTGTGTAATTACTAGAGATTTGTTTGCTGTCAATTTTAAATTTTATTACATTGTGGTAAGATAGGATATAAGGAGTGATTTCAGTATTTTTGAATTTGTAAAGATTTGTTTTATGTCCCAGGATGTGATGATTTTAGAAAATCTTGTGTGTGCTGCTGAATACAATTTGTATTCTTTAGTGTTTGGGTGGAATATTTTATAGATATGTATGATATCAATTAATTATGATGCTATGCTATTTATTTTCTTGTACAGATGATTTATCTACTAGAGAAAGTTGATTATTGCAATTGCTTTTTATCGCTGGGTTCATGTTTATTTCTCTCTTTAAATCTTTAAATCCAGTCATACATTTTTCCTTTTTAAAAATTGACTTTATTGAGCTCTACATTTTTCTCTGCTCCCCAACCTGCTTCTTCTTTCCCTCCTTCAACCCTCCTCCAAGGTCTCAATGTTCCTAATTTCCTTAGGAGATCTTGTCTTTTTCTACTTCCTAAGTAGATTAGCTCTATGTAAGCCTCTCTTAGTGTCCTCATTGTTGTCTAAATTGTCTGGGATTGTAGTTTGTAGACTGGTTTTCTTTGCCATCATACATTTTTAATGAAATTGGGTGCACCAGAGTTTGGTACTTATACGATTAGGGTAATAATGTCTTCTTGGTTATTTGCTTCCTTGATTAGCTTGAATATTCTTTTATCTCTTCTTAGTTTTAATTTAAAATTTCTTTTGTCAGATATTATGATAGTGCTGCCTGCTTGCTTCCTGGTACCATTTGATTGGAGTACTTTTATCCATCCTTTTATTTTAAGGTGTTGTCTATCTTTAAAGATAAGATGTGTTTCTAGGAGGCAATAGATAGATGACTTTATTTCTTGAGTCTTTATCTTTTGCTTGAAGAATTGAGGCCATTGATATTTAAAGTTTTATTGGAATGTTTGTTTTAATTACCATCATCATGTTATTGATTCTTGGTGGTGTTGTGTTCTCAGTCTATGGACAGAGAAGATTGAAATAGAAGAAAGCATATAGATATGTGGGTGATTTGGGCCTAGAGGTTGAGAATAGCTTGGGTGTAATGGAGTCAGGTGGTCTTTGGAGAATGAGCTAGTGTTCGATGTGCTTCCTGGTCTAAGCCTTGAGTGTAGGTATGGATCTATATGGATGGAATGTTTGGCTGTGGTGTGGGAATTACCTGTGGTTTGGGGGTAAAGTAGGGTAAGTCCTGACAGAGTAGTAGAGGTTGGTTGTGGCAAGTCAGGGTTGGCTTGACTCATCCTGGGTACTAGATGTGGGGCTCAAGATAGATCTGGTGGGTTGGTGAAGATACATGGATGCGGAATGTCAGGTAGAGTCACTGCATTAGATTCTGGAGAAGGACATGGGAGATCTGGCTTAGAGAGAGGTTGGAGAGGGGGTGTAAGTTTTCATGCTGTTGGCTTGGACCCAAACTTTGTACAAGGTCTCATAAGTATGGATGGGTATTATGAATAAGGATAGTGTTCTGAATTTGAAGAGAGCTGAGAGGGACAGCATTGCTTCACTATATGATTCCCCTGGGGCTGAGTGTAGAGGACCGTGTTGACACACAAGACCCCGAATCTATACAGCCTCTTTTGGCTTTGTATTTGACATTATTACCTGACCTTCTGTTTTATCATCTACAACCATTCTCAAATGAGGATTACCAGCAAAGGCAGTAAGCACATTTCCTCAACAACTGTAACCCCAAAATATGTTTCCTAAAAACCTGTGTAGGCTGGGATAATGCTAAAATGTTTGGAAATGGAGTGTGAATTCATGTTCTGTGTGTCCAATTAGGTCTGGTCTAATTTACTTCAAAACACATTTATCTCTATTTTGAAGCTCAAGGAACTGATTATAAATGCCATCATTGCTTCTCCATGTTTTCATTAGTAAAAATAACACTATTTATTAACCAAAATAATACTTAGTGCTTACCCCCATTGCTTTTATCTCTTCTCTTATGACATAAACTCTTGGTATTTTATTCTGTGACATTTTAAGTTAGATATGACACAAAGTTGTAGAAGATGAATGTGTTCTTTTCCTGTAAAGAGATACAGAAAAAAAAGTACTACTAATTATTTTTGAAGAAGTCATTTATAATGGAAGTCCCTGATTGACTACCATAGAATTGCTTGGAAATAGTTTTATTTTAAAAAGTGTGTATCGGTCGCCCTTTTGTCTCCTGTGTCCTTGGAATATCAACTATCCCTATTTCAGCGCTGAGGAGTTCTATCCAGAGAGTGCTGAGGAGTTGCATCCAGAGAGGAAGAGATGGGCAGGCGCCAATGCAAGAATTCCTCCAACAACCTGAAAGGCAACATGACATCACCAGAATCCAGGGATCATGAAACTAGAAGAATTGAACACCCTACTCCAGAAGAAACAGAAGAAATAGACTCTAAGCATAACTATATGAAAATAATAGAGGAACTTAAACAGGTGAAAATCTGTCATAAAGAAATGGAAGAGAAGTATAACAAAAATATTGAAGAAATGAGTAAATCCGTAAATGAAACCCTGGGAAACCAAGAAAAAACAATCAAACAGGTAATGGAAACAGTTCAAGAATTGAAAACTGAAATGGAGGCAATGAAGAAAACACAAACCGAGGGCCGGCTGGCTATGGAAAATCTAGGTAAACAAACAGAGACTTCAGAAACAAGCATAACCAATAGAATACAAGAGATAGAAGAACGAATCTCAGATTCTGAAGATACCATAGAGAAAATAAATGCTCTGACCAAAGAAAACAGCAAATAAAACAAACTCTCATCACAAAACTTTCAGGAAATGTGGGACACAATAAAAAACCAAATCTAAGAATAATAGGGGTAGAAGAAGAAGGATTACAATTCAAAGACCCAGAAAATATATTCAACAAAATTATAGAAGAAAACTTTCCCAACCTAAAGAACGATATCCCTATGAAGGTTCAAGAAGCATACAGAACATTGAATAGACTGGATCAAAAAAAAATCCCTTTGCCGTATAATAATCAAAACACAAAACATTCAGATTAAAGAAAGAATATTAAGAGCTGCAAAGGAAAAAGGTCAAGAAACTTATAAAGGCAAACCTATCAGACTTACACTGGACTTCTCTATGGAAACCATGAAAGCCAGAAGGTCCTGGATAGAGGTACTGCAGAAACTAAGAGACCATGGATGCAAACCCAGACTACTATACCCAGCCAAACTATAGTTGACTATCAACGGAGAAAATAAAATATTCCAGGATAAAAACAAATTTAAACAATACGTAGCCACAAATCCAGCCTTACAGAAAGTATTAGAAGGAAAATCACAACCCAAGGAATCCAACATTGCCAATACTGCCTACAATAACTCAGACATCTAGCAACCCTTCACAAGCACAACTCAAAGAAGGGAAACACACACACTCTACTACCCCCCCCCCCCCAAAAAAAAAGGAAAATATGCAGAGTCAACAACCACTGGTCATTAATATCACTGAATGTCAATGGCCTCAATTCACCTATAAAAAGGCACAGACTTAGAGATTGGATACGAAAACAGGATCCAACATTCTGCTGTTTACAAGAAACACACCTCAACCACAAAGACAGACACCTACTCAGAGTAAAAGGTTGGGAAAAGGTTTTCCAAGCAAACGGACCTAAGAAACAAGAGGGTTTGGCCATTCTAATATCTAACAAAATTGACTTCAAACTAAAATCAATCAGAAGAGATGGAGATGGACATTTCATAGTCATAACAGGAACAATTCTTCAGGAAGAAGTCTCAATCCTAAATATCTATGCCCCTAATATAAAGGGGCATATGCCACTTATGTAAAAGAAACTCTTCTAGAACTCAAGGCAGTCATCAAACCACACACACTAATGGTAAGAGACTTCAACACACCTCTCTCACCAATGGACAAGTCAATCAGACAGAAACCTAACAGAGAAATAAGAGAACTAATGGAGGTAATGAATCAAATGGACTTAACAGACATCTATAGAACATTCCACCAAAATAGGAAAGAATATACCTTATTCTCTGCAGCGCGAAAATTGACCACATACTTGGTAACAAAGCAAACTTCCACAGATACAAAAAAATATTAGTAACCATCTGTGTCTTGTCAGATCACCATGGATTAAAGTTAGAATTCAACAACAATGCTACTCCCAGGAAGCCAACAAACTCATGGAAGCTGAACAGTCAACTACTGAATCACCCCTGGGTCAAGGACGAAATAAAGAAAGAAATTAAAGTCTTCCTTGAATTTAATGAAAATAAAGACACAACATACTCAAACCTATGGGACACTATGATAGCAGTGCTACGAGGAAAGTTCATAGCACTAAGTGCCCAATTAAAGAAAACGGAGAAAGCACACATTGGAGACTTAACAGCACACTTGAAAACTCTAGAAAAAAAGAAGCTGATTCACCCAGGAGGAGTAGAAGACTGGAAATAATCAGAGTGAAGGCTGAAATCAACAAAATAGAAACACAGAAAACAATCCAAAGAATCAATGAAACAAAAAGCTGGTTCTTGGAGAAAATCTACAAGATCGACAAACCCCTATCCAAACTAATCAAATGGCAGAGAGAGAACATGCAAATTAATAAGATCAGAAATGAAAAAGGGGACATAACCACAGACACAGAGGAAATTCAGAGAATCATTAGATCTTACTATAAAAGCCTGTATGCCACAAAATTGGAAAATGTAAAAGAAACGGACATTTTTTAAGATAAGTACCATATACCAAAGTTGAACCAAGACCAGGTGAACAATCTAAATATACCTGTCAGTCGTGAAGAATTAGTAGCTGTTATCAAAAATATCCCTACCAAAAAAATGTCCACCGTGATCAAGTCGCCTTCATTCCAGAGATGCAGGTATGGTTCAACATATGAAAAATCTATCAGTGTAATTCAGCATTAAAATAAACTTAAAGTAAGAAAAAACTCTATGATCATCTGGAAAAGCCTTTGACAAAATCCAATACCCCTTCATGATAAAGGTCTTGGGGAGACCACGGATACAAGGAACATGCTTAAGCATAATAAAAGCAATATACAATAAGCCAACAGCCACCACCAAATTAAATGGAAAGAAATTCAAAGTGATTCCACTAAAATCAGGAACAAGCCAACTCTGTCAACTCTTTCCATATCTTTGAGGACTATCCAATATATATTTTGAAGCTCAAAGAACTGATTATAAATGACATCATTGCTTCTCCATGTTTTCATTAGTAAAGGTAAAAGTATTTATTAACCAAAATAGTACTTAGTGCTTATCCCCATTGCTTTTTATCTCTTCTCTTATGACATAAACTGTTGGTCTTTTATTCTGTGACATTTTGAGTTAGATATGTCACAAAGTTGTAGAAGATGAATGTGCTCCTTTCCTGTAAAGAGATACAGAAACAATGTAGTACTAATTATTTTTGAAGAAGGCATTTAAAACGGAAGACCCTGATTGACTACCTTATAATTGCTTGGAAATAGCTTTGTTTTAAAAAGTGTGTATCAAGTGACTTTGATTCCTGTTATTTAAATACTGGCAAACCGAATCCCAGAACATATCAAAAAAATGTCCACCGTGATCAAGTCGCCTTCATTCCAGAGATGCAGGTATGGTTCAACATATGAAAACCTATCAGTGTAATTCAGCATAAAAATAAACTTAAAGTAAGAAAAAAACCTGTATGATCATCTTATTAAATCCTGAAAAAGCCTTTGACAAAATCCAATACCCCTCCTTGATAAAGGTCTTGGGCAGACCATGGATACAAGAAACATGCATAAGCGTAATAAGAGCAATATACAATAAGCCAACAGCCACCACCAAATTAAATGAAAAGAAATTCAAAGTGTTTCCACTAAAATCAGGAACAAGCAAACTCTGTCAACTCTCCATATCTTTGAGGACTATTTCAATATAGTCCTCAAAATTCTATCTAGAGCAATAAGATGACAAATGGAGATCAAGTGGATATAAATTGGAAAGGAAGAAGTTAAACTTTTGCTAACTGAGGATGTTATAATTGAAAACATATATGACCCCAAAAATTCTACCTGGAAACCCCTATAATTGATAAACACCTTCAGTAATGTGGCAGAATACAAGATTAATTTAAGAAATAAGTAGCCCTTCTATATGCAAAGCATAAATGGACTGTGAAAGTAATCAGAAACATCACCCTATATAATAGCTACAAATAATATAAAATATCTTTGTGTAACTCCACCAAATAATTGAAAGACAAGTATAACAAGACTTTTAAGTTTTTGAAAAAAATTGAAGAAGATATCAGAAAATATAAAGATTTCCCAAGCTCACGGATAGGTAAGATTAACATTGTAAAAATGACAGTCTTACCAAAAGCTACAGATTGAATTCAATTCTACAGATTCAATTTAATCCCCAACAAAATTCCAGCACAATTCTCCACAGACCTTGAAAGAACAATATTCAACTTCATACAGAAAAACAAAGAAAAACAAAAAAACCATGATAGCTAAAGCAATTCTGTGCAATAAAGGAACTTCCAGAGGAAGTCAGGAACATCCCTGACTTCACGGTCTATTATAGAGTTATAGTAATAAAAAGAGCATTGTGCTGGCAAAAATAAAAGCAAAAAACCATGACAAGTGAGCCAATGGAATTGAATCAATGATCCTGACATAAATTCACACACCTATGTATATTTTTGATAAAGAAGTCAAAATTATACAAGGAATAAAGAAAGCATCTTTAACAAATGGCACTTGCCTAACTGGGTGTTAGCATGTAGAAGAATTCAAATAGATTCATATAAATCACCCTGCACAAAACTCAAGTCCATGTGGATCAAATATAATTCCATCCTCACTGAACCTGATAGAAAAGAAAGTGGGAAGTAGCCTTCAATGCACAAGCACAGGAGACTACTTCCTAAATATAACACCAGTACCACAGACACTGAGATCTACAATTAATAAATGGTACCTCCTGAAGCTGAGAAATTTCTGTGAGGCAAAGACACAGTCAATGAGACAAAATGGCAAAATACAGAATG